ATCAACAATGTTTAATTTAAATACTTGCTATTCTACCCTTTATCTAACTTTGAACTGTTTCTTTTGTAACTAATATAAAGATACTAAACACTTACTAGAATGCTCTCTTTATCTATATAATCCAGATAACATCCTTATTAACAAAATAACAAATATCATAAACTCTCTAAACTTATTAGAAACATTACTACATACAATAACACAAATTCTAAATTTACATAACTCTTTTTTAAACTTTAATAAAAATAACTTACTACTATTACTCATTTAAAGTACATTAGCTCTAGATTATTACAAACAACTACAGCTTACTCTAAAAAAATCAACTAAAAATTTTCTTATCTTATTATCAAACTTAATACTTATTTAATTCAACTCTACTATCTGGCAAACACAAAATGTTAAACAATATAAATAAGAGTCAGTATAAAAAATTATCACCTTAACAAAAAGGAAAAACAATATCTATTTATCTATCTCAAAACTAACAAACTCTAATAATTAACTATTTTTATCTTTAATATTAATATAGATTCTTTTATTATTAAACTTTTTTCTTAAAATTTTACTATACATACTTGTTTTGATTAAACTAACAATTCTAAGGATTTCTCTACTCTTTCTGTAGTTATTAACAATAGTTAACTTAACTAACAACAGAAAATAAAAAAATAATATCACACTATATATAGTTAGGCATACATAGCAACAATAGTGTAGTTTAGAAATAATTCTTTAGTTATATATTATATCTAATTAGTATATTCATGTATTATTATTTTTCTACTTAATATTATAATAATAATAATAATAATAATAATAATAATAATAAAATAATAAAAAAGTATTATAATAAATATAATATAAAACATCTAAAGACATTATAAATATTAAAAATTTTACAAATTATTATTTATAAAATAAATTTGATTAGTTAAATTTTTAATAATTACTTAAAAAATAAATTTAATTAATTAAAATTTTATTATTAAAATTAATTTTTTTATAATAGTATTAAAATTTTTTAAAATAATAATAATTTTAAAATAAAATAATTTTATAAAAATAAATTTTTAAAGATGTGCTAACCTAGTAAAGTAAATAGATTGTCAACTCCTAAGTGGTAAATCTAAGGTTCAATTTTTATAGATGATGAATTTTGAAAATTATATCTGTATTATGATAACTGTCTTTTGTCAATCAGTTAAGTTTTGGGCATCTGTAATCTTAGATACACTAGGTCAGATTCTATCTAATATTAGAAGCTCAGAGCATCTATATAAAATGTAATATTATATATATATAAAAGAATGTGAAAAACTAATATTATATAAGACTTTGATGCAAATCCATAATAAGACTATTGGGCATAAAAGGCTTAAAAACTAAGAAAACAGAAACCCACTTGGAAATCCTAACTAAAAAGGTAGCACAAACTTTTAATGATACTATTGGACTGATAAAAGCTTATGAAACATCTTTATAGAAATTGTTGAATAAAACCAGATAACAGATATATGAAAAAAGCATATACACCAATCAGACTGCTGAAATTGCTAGAAAAAAGAATATATAAGTATATTATATCAGGCTATCTGAATTAAAAGTCTAAAAAGTCTGTCAGTTCTGAGTTGCAGCTAGTAGGAGATAATGAAAAAGATATTAGAAAAATAGATACTAGGGTTTGAGTAAACTTTACAAGAATAATAGTAATTTAATAAATAACTCTAACTGTAAGTGTTAGTCTTGGCTATAGCATTAAACCAGATTAGTAGTAAAAAAGAATATGGTTTGCTTTGATAGATTTATCTTAAAAATAAAAATAGTTTAAAGATTATAGTTCTAAAGATCAATGACAAAAAAATCTAAGTTTATAACCTGATGAAGTTAATATTAAAGACAGATTAGAAGGTTTAAATAGAACATCTAAGCAGAGAAGTTAGATACAGCAACTAGTAAAAAACCTTTAGGCAAACTTCTTAAATAGGTAATATAGAAAAGTTATATATAATCAGTTATATACTCATTTAATAGTTCAATATAGATATGTTTATATATACATGTATCTAATATAAGTATTAATAAAAAGTTAGAACCAAAAAAGTTACCTTAATACCAAAAAAAAATAATTATAAATAAATTTTTTTAAAAAAATTTCAAAAATATATTCTTTTAATATAAATAAATTTATAAAAAAAAAATAATAATATAAAAAAAAACAAATTAAATTTTTTTAATAATCTTCTAGCCAATAACAATAATAAGCAAACTATAGAAAAACACTATAGCAAGGTTAAAAAATTAATACTTCTAATCTTATATAAAATAAGTTGTTGTTAATAAAGTTAAAATAAATATGAAATACTAAGAAACAGACATATTTGCAAGTATTTAAAGAGAGACCAAGCTTTTTTTTTTAGTAAACTCTTTACTCTGTTTGGCATTCAAACTAAAAGATTTTTTTTAAAAATAATTATAAAAAAATTTAAGTTAGAACTATTAAAAACTTAAAGCAATTACTATATAACTATAAAATCTATATAGAAAACTACATATAAAATTTTGTTAGTTTTACTTTTTTTTATAAAAAATTTTGCAAAAGTAGACAATTTAGTTTATCTTTTCTAAAAGATTGATATATAAAATCATCAAACCAGTTAGTAGTATTTACTTTTCTAAATAAAATTATTGAAAACATAAATCAGAAACAATACTGCAATACAAATATAATTTATTTATTTTTTTTTTTTAGCATTAAGATGACCTCTTGGGTCTTTTGATTTTATTTAACAATGGTAAATATGGTTCAGTAAACCATTACAAAAAGAGCATACAATTGGCTACACATGTAACTTTTCTATATTATCTATTTAAGAAGTCTGTCTAAAGGTTCATCACCAATTGCTATATCTAACACCCCTGCTTGAGTATTCTATTTTAAATCCTCTGAACCTGCAAACCTGTTAACTTTATTAAGTCATACCTGATGCTCAGATCATCATCTCAACCTTAGGACTATTTTATCCTTGAGGTAAACTCTTTAGAGCCTTTTGTACTCATTTTTACAGCTGATCTAAGTATCACTATGGCAGAACCAACATTTGTAGTCAGAACTTAATTATTAAACTTCTATGTTCTTGTAGAGTTCACTTAGACCCCAGCATCTACTTTACAGTATTTTAATATACCTCTGCCTTTTCACCTGCCTTTTTACTAAATTCCCAATCCAGATAGATCATATAGAACTATGACCAGTCTATCAGTATATCAGGTCAGCTTAATATCCTTTTTCTTTAGTTTGTTTCAGTAGCCTAGTTGGTAGTACCTCCAAAACTTCCAACCCAGAGGTTCTTGCTCATCTAACTACTACAACTAGATACTACGACCTTGGTATCTGTTTCCTCAGACTAGTCTTTACAGTAGAGCTATCAAAGATCCAGCTACCTCTCTACTTAGATTTTTCCAAATGGACTTCTTGTTATTCAATTTCAATAAATTTACATGGCCATGAGAATTTATCTAGTGTTTGCACTGTCTGATTGTTGGTTTGCATTTTTCCATATAACTACAGACCTTGTTTCAAAGAACAATGTCATATGAGGTTACACAAATGCTCCATAACCTGCCAGTCATGCTGGTGCAACTGCCATTACAGATATCTTAAGCTAATTGTTAGTAACAGTTACCATAATATGAATATTATATAAGTAATTATTCAAATTTTTATCATTGATATAATGCCAGTAGGTTATATCTGACAATTATATGAATTGTTTTAATTTTTATACAATCATGATTGACTAATAATAATAAAAAAATTTAATTGTTAACATTGCAATAAACTTTTAACAAAATCTTCAAAACGATAAAAAAAATATTTATTAGTTGTAGATTTAATTTAAAATAATATTACTCACTGTTATTTAATACAAATTATTTAATTATTTTCAATCTAAATCTATTCCTCTTTCAATATTTTTAGGCAAACATCAATGAGATTTGTTTAGTGACTGCCTACTTAGCAGCTTTATCTACCAATTTTTTTTTGTAAGCATCTATATATCTTCAAGACTTACAAAAGAATTTATGAATAATTGTTACAAGTTCATTATTGAGAAGTCTTAGAAGCTGTTGTTTTAAGTTTTTATAGTTATAATTACATGTCTGTTTTGTTTCTTTTTTCACAAAACCCCAATAATGTTCTATAAAGTTACATTCACAGTAAAATTTAGAATACCTCTTAAAAATATGTCCTGCATTAATGACAGCCTCCTTTAACATTGCCTGTTGTTCACTAAAGTCAGGTTGTTGTAACAAAATTCATCATGTATAGCAGCCTGATCTTTCTAAGTCATTATCATTTTTATCAGAACATTGTTCACATATCAAGTGAACTCTATATATTGGCTATAACTTATATTCTTTTAATATTTATTTAATTCCTTTTGGCTTTTCTTATAGCTTTTTCACTAGTTAATTACTTAGAAATAGTATTGATTGTTTATATTTTTTACTGCTTTTATTAATGAACCAACCATTGTACATTATTAGTTGTGCTTCTCTAGAGCTTAGATTCATCTTTGTTTCAATCAATGCATTAGATGACATTGCATTATGATTTGTTAATTGGTCAAAACAAAATATACCAATACAACCTGAATGCAATATCTCGAATATTGGAATCATTCTATGTATAAAAATAGTAAAAAAATAACAGGTTAAACTATCATTTTTACCAATTTAATGCAGATAATAATTAATATATAGATCACATAATCATTACTTGTTTTTAATTATGTAATAATGATAATAAACATTTGCTATTCTTACCTTTGCACAAGTTGATCTAATATATGTTTCAACTTTCAATATCCATCTAACTGTATGAAACAAAAAATAAGCATCTCTTTGTATTTAATATATGGATTTGCTTATAACTGTTCATTAGATAACTACAATAACCCATAGCATAGACAGAAAAAAGCTAAAACCATAATAGATCAACCTATATCTTTTGGATGCAAAATATCTTCATCTTCCATAGTCCATACTTTTTTTTGTTTATCATTTGCATAGGAGTGACACTCGTCATATATCACTTATACAAATTGTTTTTCTTCAGGCTTGAGTTTGTGTTCTACTGTAATCTTCATTGAATTATCATCAAAATGCATCATGTATTCTTTATATTTAAACATTCTTTCTAACTATTTTTCTTTATATGCAACTACATCAGGTCACTTATATTTATCATAATAGACACCTTTTATCCTTTTATTATAATAATATCCTATTTACATATTTAGTTTCTGCATGTTTTTTCTGACACAGTACCTTGTTCTATATGTTTTTCTTTAATATATGCTTTCAAAAATAGAGAAGAACATGCTTCAGGTTTTTGCTGACATGGTCATGCCCAACAGTTTTTAAAGACATTTTCATCATCAAGCAACTCTTTCTATTTCATATGTTTGCCTTAATAATCAATATGAAGTTCTCCTATATGTATGAAATGATCACCCCAATTTCAAATACATCTTGAAATATAATCACCCTTGTTCTATACTGATTTAGCAACCTGTTTACTAGCATTTATCTTACCTTTCTTATCTAACAATAACTTTATGAATTTACTTATACTTACTAGATGCAAATAATCATATATAAATATGTTTAGTTTAGATGATTTTGTAAATGAGCAATGTCAATTAACTTCTTCAAAATGTGTTTGAAGGCTTGTTATAGTTTTGGTAGGTATTATAGAATTAAGGGATGTTGGCTGTATTATGGTATTGACAGATGGGGTTGGGTCTTGTATAAGCATTGGTTATGTTATATTACTGATAGATAAAGTTGGACTTTGTATAGTAATTAAAGACTTTTGTGTCATTGTACTGAGGTATGTTTATGTTAATAAGCTATCAAATTTTTTTTTTCTCAATAACATTTCATTATTTATTTCTTTTTCAAGTTTTTTTTTTTTTCTCTTCAGATTGTTGTTCTTGAATTTTTAGCATATTTACGTCTTTTATTGCTTGTCTCAGATTCTTGTAACTGTTCCTTTTGTATAATGGCTACTGCTTCTTGCTCATTAAATCCTTTCAATCATATATCAATTGCTACTTCTTGTACATCAAATTCTTTTCCCCATTCTTTCCTTATACTGATTGCCAATTCTTGTAGATTAGTAGATAATTTTTTTGAGAAATGAAATGATCTTGTTCTCTAACTAAATTACATGCTTCTTTTTTTCTTTTTTTGCAAGAAGGCATTGTGATTAAGAAAGTTCTTTTGACAATTCGTAATGATTTATTTTTAATTTAAATAAAAATATTATTTGCAAAAATGATTATAGAATGAAAGTTGGTCATTTTTTTATATTGAATAAAGGTTTTTATATGTTTTATAATAATAAATAAATGAGCGAAACTATTTATATAACAATTATATTATAACAATTGAACTTTTATAAGTTAATTAGATCAATAGTATCATCTAAATAAAGAATACTGTTTACTCTTACATATAATGATATTTTATTATATAGTAGTTTGCTATAAATAATCGCATAGTGCTCTCTTTATAGATTAAATTATTGGAACAATTAATTGCATTGTTTTGAACATAAAATTTTATTATTATTTAGTTTGCCCATTAAAAACTATTTGTAATTGTGACAAAATACATTATTAATTATTGGATCATCGATACATTTATTAAAAAATGCTAATTTATTTAATTATATATATTATTTGGATCTACTCATTTATTATAATTAACTTTTGTCTGAACAAATTCACTGAACTACATTTATGGACTTTCTATTTATATATACTATAAATTATTAATCATGATGACTGTAATTGCAACAGGCCATTTCAACAAAAATTATAATTCATTCCATTAGGCCATGTTTGGGATTAAATAAGACAGAATGAAAAACAAGAAACCTTAATCTTAATTAAAAATTCTAAAAATTATATAAACTATTATTACTTCCAGGCTAGTGTTCTGTGAACAGGTACTCGAATTAGAACTGCAGAGAATGTTTAACATTTTGCTATTAAGCAATATTGAGTAATGATAGAATGAAACTCAATTATTATCTAATTGTTTGACTATAGAATACTAAAAAATCACAATCTTGTGAAACACTACTTAAGGCCATATTTTAAGAACTATCTGGATAAGGACAGAATAAAAAAACAGACAAAAAAGTTGGGCTAACAGAAAAATAATTTTAAAAAGAAAAAAACTCAGATTTATTTAAATATTTTATTAAAGATCACAAATTAGTTCATAATTTACCAATATATCAGTATACTAAGAATTTGGTTTTACTTATTTTGTTAAAATAAATTTCTAGCTAATCAAATATGCTTGTTTAATAAAAATTATTCATGTGAATGTTTCAATTTTGAAAAGCATAATGATTTTTAATTTCTATACTTCTTTAATAAAAAAATACTTTAAAAAAGTAAACTAATAACTTTGTAGAAAATTACTCGAACTATAAAGTTATCAGTTTAATTTTTTAAAAATTCTTTTGTGCTTTGAAGAGAAATGATTTAAACATGTCTGATTTTTGTTCATGTGATTGTCAGGCATAACCTAGCAGCATCATAAAATTTGAACACCTAACCTACTACTTGAAGGATTGACAACTTGACTACTTTACTAGGTTGCTACACCCTCCAATATAATTTATACATATGTCTTAAACTGCTAAAAATTTATAAAATATTGTTTCTAAATTAACTAATACTTTATATTACTTTTTACATTTAAGTTAAAACTTTTTTCTATATTTTATTAAATATTCTAAGTAAATAGAAATATAATAGAAATAGTTCTATTTAGTATAGTTTATAATTTTTAAGAAGCCTAATACAAGCTTATACCTATAACTATTTAATAGTAATATAGCAAAAGTTGCACATATTTTTTTTTTTTTTTTTTTTTTATCTTTTTATTTCTTGTATTAAATTTTTTATCATTTACTTTTATCTCTGTATTTTTTTTATATTAGTTTTTTTGGTTTTGTTTATTTTTTTATAAGAAGATATTATTGGATTAATGATATTCTATTATAGAACAGTAGTCAGATACAGCTTCTAGTATACTCTAATTTCTTATAAAGTTAGATAGTTAGTACAGAAAAATTGTTCATAAAACTCTTAAAAGTATTTACAAAATGTTAAACTAAAATTTATATATACTTGTATTATATATACAAATAATTATAATAAATGTAACTAGCAAAACTGTTTAAATAAAAAAAGAATAATAATAATAATAATAATTTTAGTAAAATGATTAGGTTGTTATTTTTTAAATAATAGGTTTAATTTTTAAATTCTATTAGCAGCAAAATTTTAAAAATATATTTATCCTAATAAATATTATTTTTAGATTTTATAATTTTAATTATATCAAAACTAACTTTAAAAATATATAATATTATATAATTAAATTAAAAAAATATATAGTTAAATAAAAAGTTTGCTAGGTTTAGGTTACCAATTATATGTCTGAGTCTTTATTTTTTATATATAATTTAAAAGCAAGCTTTTTTTTGTAAAAACTTTAATTAAATTTTAATAAAGTTAAAGACAGTCTTATTATTAATATTTAAAAAAAATTAAAATAAAATAAAAAGTCTGCAAAGAATAATGATTTTAGTATAGTGGTTGGGTTGTATTATCTAAGTAGCAGATTTAAGATTCAAATTCTATTTATGATACAATTTAAAAATTATTATCAAGGTAAATTCACCATCTAAATTTTTTTTAAATTATGTAATATGATTTTTTGAAGAAGCAGAAATACTAATTTAGCTATTAATAACTATGTATATATATATATATATACATATATAAATACATATATATATTATACACATACTCATGTCTATGTGGAATAGCAGATCAATTACATTTATATTCTAATACCTGGCCACCAATTGGACAAGCTATTAGGAAAATCAATATATGATCGACACTTTGGATTAATCATAGCACATCTTACAATCACATTTTAACATTACAAATCTAGGTGGACCTTAACCATCATAGTCAGTTTAGGTTACAGATAAAACTATTTGAGCTTTAATTCTTGCATGTAATTTTTATTTTGTAGTTTATAATCTTAGTATATCTTAGTATATAGTATATTAATA